TATATATATATATATATATATAAATAAAATGCAGAGACAGATGTATGTATAAAAATACACATGAAAAATGACAAAGAAAAATGGTAAAGTTTGGCTGTGAGGCACAAATACAGCCAGTATTCCTTTTCACGGGAGCACTGAGTTCCACTTGCCAGCACTTTTTTTTTTATCTTTTAATAATAAGCATTATTCATTTGGAACCTATTCATTTACAGAAACACTTCCAGATCTGTGCCACTGCAGCTGAAGAGGTACAGTGTTAGAAGCTGGATCAATGAGAGTGGATCCTACTTCTGCTTTCCTTTAAAATCCCAAGCAAATCCATACAGACATTTCTAGCAATTTTTCACTGATTTTTTTGAGATAATTCACACGATACGTTCTGACATTCGTGGGTGACAAACTGGAGAATGGCTTGCTATTGCATGCGCACTTTTGCAAGAAGAGCCATTCCGCAGATCTCCACTCTCCTTCATTTTACATGCATGAGATTGCTAATACAGAAAAAATGCTGACAACAAAACTCGCAAACTAAACAGATATGAACTCTTCAGAAGCATGCAGAGGTGAAATCAAAAAAGGTCCCCTGTGGTCCTCTCTCTGTAGAACTTACTGTCTTATAGGCAATGTACTACTGCTTCAGTGCATACTGTGTTCTGTGCATAATTATTAGTTTAAGCAGTCATATTTCTTCAAACCAAAACACACTTAGTTTTCCTGTTTGAGACCAATTTAGAGTCATAGAATCATGTAGGCTGGAAAAGACCCTAACACTGACAAGTCCACCACTAAACCATATCCCTAACTTAAATAAGCAAGCCTTCACTTCAGAGTAATTTTCCTTTAAGCAATGAAGAAACAAATACAAGTGTCCTTGGTCAAATAAAGACATCCCTCAAAACAAAGCACTGCTTTTTTCTTTTTCATAGAGCTTTTTTTCCTGCTATGCTTTGCTGTCATTCAGGATTCAGCCATTTAAAAACTTATTAATACCGACACATGCACTAGTCCCACAGTGCGGAAGTTCTCTGGAAAGCCAAAACTTCATTACTAATTTTTGTTTACATGACACTGTAGACAAAGATGCATTAATTATTTTTTAAATACTTATCTAATGAGAACCTCCACAGCTGTGGAAAGTTGTTAGTTTTTTCTTAAATCATTAGCCACCCCTTTCTAGTACTGAGCAAAGCCGGAAAGACACAGGATGTATTTAGTGACTGCTGCCGTGGCGCAGTTACCTGCAGTTTATCCTCGTGGTTTGTGTGAGTATTAGACAAGTGCCTGAACTCCTGCGTCAGACGGAAGCAGTGCTTCACGTGTTCTGGAGATACAAAGTCTTCTGCCACTTTAATGCAGCTGTACAAATTATGGACCTAAACCAACCATGTCAAATGACAGAAAACATCAAGATTAAGCAAACCATACAAAACTCTAAGAAGCCCATCCCATCCCCCCTCACGTCAGGTTCTTCCACATTCACTCAGCGGGAACAGGAACTGAAGCCTACTTCACCTCACACAGAATGGTGCCCAGTGGTAAAACCAGCACAAGACACGTGGAATCTCACATGTTCCCCGCTCTCCCACATACACCAGTGTTCCCTAATGCCAGTTCTCTACTGTTCTCCACACTTATAAAACATGAATGTGCTTATAAATATCCAGTTACTTATGTGCTGAGGCATAAATTCAAAACGGTAAAGTTCTGTGATTCTTGGTAAAGTCACAGAAAGAAGAGCAAAATTGTAGTCACTGTTAGCACAGAATACCGGTGATGCTCCCATCCAATACCACAGTGCATTCTCCTGTGGTATTTTACAGTGAGAACCATAAAGCCTGGCATCTTTCAATTCTAGAATTGAAACATGTTTACAGTGACAAAAATATGTGGATTTCAATGTTGTCCAGGTCACTGGATTAAAACTTGGAATTCTGTTCCTCTGGGTGAAGTTTCACTACACACAAGTGTTTCCCCACCATCCCTAATGTTTTTTTCTTAATTCCATCACAGTACTGTATTCATCATTTGGGTGTGTATATAGTTTTTACTACTACACTAAGATCCGATTCAAACAGTACCCATAAGATCTGCATACGTAAAAAAAGGAATCGAAGGCACCCATACTAACCAACAGTTAATTTGAAGCTGGAGTTCTGTCATGCCTCAGATTCAATTCTATTTGTCAGTATGGCCTAGAGTTGGCATCCTTACCTGATGGGGAGCACCTGCAGGAATGAACACAGCATCTCCAAGGAACTGCACTATTGCCCAGCCTTGTACTCCATACTCATCATAGAGCCGCTTGCGTAAGGTCTGGTCCAAGTACCAACTTTGGTCGTGAATGGGGTCATGGTCTGGGGGATTTTCTTGGCCTTGTTCTTCTCCAACCTAGGGCCAAGATATGGGGTAGGGAGGAAACCATGACACAGCACCTTGATACTGCTGGCTCAGAAAAGCTCTGTACCAAAAAACGCAACAAACTATTTCAAGGTAGTACTTTACTTCCATTAAGCTCATTTAGGTATTAAATAATTACATGTGCATTAGTATGAAGAGTCTAGACCAGGCTGAAAACCTGGGAACAAAGTAACTGTTAAATGTCCTCAAAGACAGCATTAGAACACCTATGCACTTGATGCTGATCGCAATTGGTACCGCTCAGCTGCTCTACATAAGCTAGGTACAGGATCCTGCGGGCTCAACCCCCCTCTGTAACCCACAAACCTTCCGCAGAAGTTCCCGTATCTTCTCAGCGTCCTTGGCAGCATAGATGTGCCACAATGCTCCAGGTTTCTCTCTTCCTTCATGGATTCGCTGCTTTGTTACGTCGTCAGCATCTCCCTCATCAATTGTTTTCAGAACCTCTGAAAGGGGAATCCACATAAAAGCAATACGGTTACGAAGCTGCTGATTTCTGACATTGAGAAAAGGAAGGAGCATTTTGAGCTGCTACTGCAACTGCTGCATTACACAGTGCCCTTTCTAAGCACATCAAGCTCTGCTTTAACAAAATTCAGGAAATGTCACAATTGACAGCTAATCACAAAGCTCAGTCATGAATTCAAGCTGAACTAACTACAATTATTCACATACAAGGAGAACAAAGAGTAACTTATCACCCTTTCTCCTCCTTTCCTCAGGGACATATCTAATTTCTAGCAAAACTCTGCAGCTTCCAGAGCTGGGAACCAAGGAGGCATTACTGCACTTTTAAAGATGTGCTGCAGACACAGCAAACTCTCTTATACATTTGGGTTAGATCTCACAGATATGAGAAGCTTAAACAATAAAGTAGTCTTCTTCCTCACACACACAATTTGTTTTTAATGGACAGAAAACAGCATTCCTCAAACATTACCATCATCATGGGTCCCTTCCCCAATGGGAATCCCAACATACACCATGACGTTAACAGCATCAGACACATCCAAGTGTAGGTTTGTGGTACCAACTCGTCTGTCTTCTGCAGTAATTAAGCCTGTAATAGAGTGTAAAATAAAATAAATTTCTATTTAAGCTCTTAAAGGAATAACCTGCCCGAGAGATCTTTCTAGAATGCTAACCACACAGCAATGAGAGCACAAACCAAAAGGCAGCTGAAGTTGTTATTTTCAGATCATGTGTGGCATAAGTAAAAAGTTTACTGATAAACAGTAATTTTATTTTACAAGAAACAGAAGTAGCAAATGCGGTTCACCCAAGTCACAGAAAACAAGCATTTTAAAAACAAACCCTGAACTTTAAAAAACCCAACAAAAACAACCACTCTGGTTTTTTAAGTCTTATTTGTAACGTCATACCACAAAAAACCCCCCATATGATCCCATAAACACTTCCTCGGATCTGCAGTACGATGGTTCACAGCTTAAGTCCAAACCATATTTGGTTACTGAGCTAAAACATTCTTTAGAAAAAGACGGAACAATGAAAACTCTTTCATGTCCTCAGGCGAGTTGTTACTGCAGGTGTATTGATAACTGGAACGCAACACCCTGCACCCCGTCTCATAAATATTCAGAGAGAGCTACAGAGGTTACCTTAGGCGAAGTTTGCTTCCACATCCTAGCTATGCAAGATAGCTGCAACTTTATCAGTATATACAAAGAGCAACTACTTTAAATGCTATTTTATCTTACTCTAAAGTTGCAAAAGTACATACTTCCAAATCAATCTGTTATTTAAAAGTATCCTGGAAGTGAAACAATAATTTGTTTTAATTTAAAAAAGTCTCCAAAGCCTGCTTTTGTCTGTGACCTCAAAGTCACTACATTCAGGAACAGAAATAATTCAAGTTGATAGGACATGCATTAATTTTTCGTACATCCTCAATGCCCTGCTATACTGACAATCATTTGAAGGTTTAATGCTTCACAGCCCCACGGAGGGTGTGTGTTCAGACAAATGCTTACTCCATTTGTATGCCATTTACCTACTGTATAAGTACAGTCTGAGGAGGACAAAACTATCCAATTCAGGTAGCTGAACACGGTGACAGTTTTGTCTTGCCTGCTGTCCATGTTGTTAGACATGGATGAAGAAAATCACAGCCCTGGTCAGAAACATGAACACACAGATCAAGTGTGCAGGAGCTGGCCGATTTTCCTCTCAAATGCATCAACTGGTCTCAAGGAGATATTAATTCCTCCTTGAACCCTGTATTGGTACTATGCTTATTATATGTATTAAATAACAATTGTTTGCAAACTGAACTTATCATATATACACCTCTTGGAAACCACAGGGCAAAAAAGGCACATCTGACAGAGAGGACTAGCATAGGAACAGACTGCAGGACCAACTGAAAAAAATGTCAGTACTGGTGCTCTAGGGTAACCACCAAGTTTTGATTAATGCCACAGCCTTGCACGTGCCCTAAGTGTAATGAAGAGAACAATAAAAGAGCCACAGAAGTCACCATCAGCAGAACTGTTCTCACGTACCATAGGCATTGTACATTTTGGGACCCAAGTCGGGACGGACAAAGTAGCTTGGCAGCCGAGAAGCCAAATTCAGTCTGCCATCCCTCTTGGTATATTCAGGAAGAGGAAGATTTTCCATTAAGTCCTCAAACCTAGAGAGCAAAGAGAGAGCAAAGGCACATTTCCCTCCTGTCGTGCCTACAGCGGTCCCGTAGGCACTGATACTACAGTTTACTTACCTTGTAGGCATCATATCTCTAAAGTCCTCCCCTGGAGGCCAGTCCTTTAATTTTAGTACCATTGGCTGACCATCATCTGACCTGAGCCGTTCTGCAAGAACAAATAGAGATTTTTTTCATGTAGCACCTTTTTACCACAGTCCATTACCTTGTTTAAGCTGCAAGTCTTTTGTACCAAGACCTCTTACAGTGAACTGCAAAATGCATCCTGATTTTTCTTTGGGTTTCCAAGCACTATCATAGCATGACCAAACAACAGTTTAGCAATTAGATATCATTACCTGCAGCAGAAGTTTGACAGATCTTGCACAGCTGCTAAGTTTTAGAATAGCTTTTATTCAAGATTGAAAGCAAGCCTTTCCAAAGCCTTCTGCCTTACTCCTTTTACCAAAGACTAAAGTAGTTTTATCTTTCGTTTCAAGAGGAGTGGTGCCTCTATAAAACTAAAGTTATTGGTTCATGCTCTGAAATAAACTCTAACCTCAGTATAAAGCAAGAAACCATGGCAGACCACACTTCAAAAAGCTAAATGGTAAGTGGCTACTGAGGAAGACAGCCTTTAGTTCTTGAAATTCGTCTTTGCTGAAGGCACTCAAATGAGCAGGGTGCCAAAATCAAAACTCTGTTCTTCACTTCCAGAGGTGTACACAAGTCCTGACTGGCAACAGAGAAAGCCGGTAGCACAGAAAGATGACGTTATGTGGGTGTATGACAGCACTGGATACGGACACGACAGCACTGACCACATCAACCGCTGCTCTGCCTCGGATGTTACGATGGCTGAGAGCCATCGAAGCGGTGCCTGCAGTGCCTTGGAAGACTCAGCGAAACAAAGTTCCCTCTTCCACCAGGTTCTTCGCAAGTCTACGGGCAGCCATCAGCTGGAAAACAGGATGTACTGCAGGCTGACACCTCCACATCCCCCTTTCCCCGAAAAGCAATAACCTTCACCGCGCCCTACCTTACCAAGGACTGTCGGGCAAGCTAAGAGCAACTGGTCTTACCCAGACCAGAGCTGCTGACAGCACCCAAAGAGAAAGTATATTTAAGAAACTAGGACTTGGAGACACGTGAATCATATCTGTCTTATATTATCAACAGGCCACAGAAAACAGCCTTAGTTTGCTGCAGATATGTAAACCAAAGTGACTGACTTAAAGAAAACAGATTTTGATGAGCTACAGATTCTAGAGAGGCAAGTGAGCTGACAAGCTCAGGAATCTGAATTTAAAGATGTTTCAGAACTTCCTGTATTCAAGACTTTCAAGTCATCAAGCATCTTTGCTCCAAACAAGGAGAAGAAACTTGTAGGAAGGCTATTCAGAAAGGACAGAGCAAACAGGAGGAAAACTATGGATATGACAAATTACACAAAACTGGTCAAAACCCAGCAAAGATCCAATCAGCAAAGAAAGGTAGGTCTGAGAAGGATCAAAACAAATAGTTAAGTCTGCCAAAAGTCCACTTAGAACTCAAAGATATTAAAAGGAAAGAGCACAAGATCAAAATTAACTAAAGGATCATATAGAATAATTAAGGGATTATCTCAATACCACCTCCAAATGCAGCGACTGTTCTACATCTCTTGGTACCTCAGTGCAAGGGGGTGTGTGGTGGAACCAGCCACATATTTGAGAAGTCTAAAATCCACCCGATGCAGAGAAGTCAGAGTCATTGTATAATTTGCAACCAATTTTTGTATGAGTTAGCGTGTGAAACCTCTGGACTAGTGGCAAAATACTCCTCTTCTAAATTGGGGATTGCACATGACTAAAAAACACTGAATAAAATGTATTTAAAGGAAACTAGCAAAAGCGATCAGGTTTTCCACCCTAGATCACTAATAATTCTTGTATAAAGAGCAAAGGCATTGTCTAAAAGAAAGGTGGCAGCTGATTTTGCTGAAAGAAGTGTTATCTGTCTGCAGACAAACTACAAATAACATTTCTGAAAGATAACTTGACTTATACAAATTTACTGTTTTCAGGAATAACCCTAGCACAAAAGTGAAGGGTTTATGAAGTTTCCTAATCATTGTTAATACACAGAAAGACCACACTGTTACATCATTCCAGGCCATTAATTTCTGAGTAATAACAGAAACAGAACGAAATTTAGCAGTACAAAAAACAAGACCCTGTATTTGGAACCATATAAAAACAAGTCAAAAGTTGGGAGCTCTTTGGAAAATGACCAAGGGAGGGAATATTCTTGGTCTACAGATCTATCATTTTGTTTGCTGTTGAAGAAACATTCCATTAATTCATCCAATTGTTCACTATTTCTGCTATGTGCACATAGCAATGAATACAGAAAGTGTTCTATACACAACACTAAGGACCAGCACCACTGCAATGAACTGTTGCAACTCTAATATCTGTGAATGTAAGACCTCTCTGATCGAGGTGTATGTAATTAAAATAGAGCACACTGCTTTCCAGAACCTCTTTAATCTGACCTGTTATATCCTCAGGAATTTTAACTAGCTTTCCTCCACATCCACACTTGACAGAAGGTTTTCTCAAAGAAAACTCAGGCAGTAAGTAACGTGTTATCACATGAGGTACACATACAGCATTGCTATTCATAATACATACAAACATGTATTTGTACTCGTAGAAGATCTATAAAATAATTTGCAATGTCAGATTAGCAGATGTGTCCCATAAAATCTGAGTTTTAGCATCGAAAGCCTCAGTTTGTCTTGGCTCTGCAGGTTCCCGTCAGTTTTACAATACTGAGGTTGGAAGGGGAGTAAGGGCAGTCAAATCACTTAATGTCTTGATAACGGTAACCGATGATTAATGTCACCGAGGAAAGCTTAAAAAAAGTAGTTTCCCATGACATGGATCATCTTTTGACACATGAAAGTAACACACATCACCACGCTGTAGTACAAATGAAGTTTTCTTGGGCAGCCCTGCCCTAATCTTCACCAATAAAGTATTTTCTAGGGTGCATTACATCTAAGGAGCAATGGCTTCTTTGGACGAGATCAACAGCTATTTGGTTGGGGTGGTTTTTTGGGTGGGTTTTTTTGTTTGTTTCTGTTTGGGTTGGAGTATTTTGGGAAAATAGGTGGAAAAGGAGGAGTAGAAGGTAGCAAGACAGACTGCTCAGGTAAACTAGTCAGCCATAGGTATTACTTACTAGATATTATCTCAAAGCCATCCCAGAAGTCACGCACTTTCACGTCTGAAATTATGGCACAGTTTCTGCAGTTCACCAAATCTACATCTTGATCTCCAAATTCCAGGCTGAAAGCTTCTGGTTTCCAAAGTTCTGACTTCAACTTCTTATGGACACCAGATACCAGCACGGGCTGAGAATACAAAGATGAATGCTTACTCCACCATAACCAAATTTCTTACACATGCAGCCAAACTTTCTTAAGAGCTGAGACCCCTGGCTACCATCATACAAGAGACGCCACAAATCTGTTTTCATCCATGTCTGGTTTGTGTGCGATCAAACAAATAACCAGAGTCAAAGCAAACTTCAGTTCCAGGCCCAGTGCAGCTGCCGTGGAAGTGGCATTGCAGGAGACTCAGGAAGGCAGCGCCTGGGGTCTGCACGGCCAGGGGCTGGGAGCTACCCCATGCTGGACACGGGTGCCCCCACCTGGCTCCAACAGCCCCACCGTTGGCCCAAGCTGAGCCCATCATTGACGCTGGTGGCACCTCTGTGATAATAATAAAGGCAGAAGGGCAAAAAAATGCTCTGCAGCTACTGGGGGTGGGGAAGCAGGGAGGGGGGAAGAAAGTGTGAAAAACACTGCAGGCACCGAAGTCAGGAGGAAGGAGGGGAGGAGGTGCTCCAGAGATTCCCTTGCAGCCCGTGGAAGAGATTATGGTGAAAGCTAGTTGCTCCACTGCAGCCCATGGAGGACCACAGCAGAGCAGATATCCACACCACAGCCCGTGGAGGACCAGGGTGGAGCAGATATCCACACCACAGCCCGTGGAGGAGCCCACACTGCAGCAGAGGGAGATGCCCTGAAGGAAGCTGCAGCCCATGGAGAGCCTGCACTGGAGCAAGCTCCTGGCAGGAGCTGTGGCCCTCGGAGAAGAGCCCATGCTGGAGCAAGTTTTTTGGCAGAAACATTGGCCCACTGGGGACCCCCAGCAGAGCAGTCTATTCCTGAAGGACTGCAGCCCATGGAGAGGACCCATGCTGGAACAGTTCATGAAGGATGGTAACCTGTGAGAGGGACTCCCCAGTGGAGCAGGAAGGACCAGAAGGGATGAAGTATTATGGACTGACTGCAAACCCTTTTATTCTCCATCCTCCCTGTGCCACTCTGGGGGAAAGAAACAGAAGAGTCAAGGATGAGTGAAGCTGAGCCTCTAGGAAGAAGGAGGGGTAGGTGGGGGTAAGGTGTTTTTAGCTTTGTTCCCCACAATTCTACTCCATTTGTAATTGGCAATAAATAAAATTACTTTTGCACAAGTTGAATCTGTTTTGCCCGTGACAGCAATCGCCAAGGGGCTCACTAAGTTTTCCACCTTATTTTCCCCCCTGTCCTGCTGACAAGGGGGTGTGAGAGCAGCTGAGGAGGTGTCTGGCAGCCAGACAAGGTCAGTCCACCTGTGGAAATACAGTGGGCGTCGAGTCGCAGCACTTCTTTTTTTAAGCACAAATGGAAGTACCACTAGAAATAGCATTTGTAGTAAAGCCTTCTCATACAAAACATTCATATTCTGATACAATCTTTTAAACTATTTCACTCATTTATGAATCATCATGGACCATCATTAATTCCCTAGTACAGACCAAGTAGTGGAAAAGTGTCAGCTCACTTGCAGAAGGGGCTTTATGATGCTCAGGCTAACCACACGTATGCATTCCACACCAAGATCTGAGTGGCCTCTCCTCAGAAATGCTCAGGGCGTTTCCTAAACTAACAAATACTAGGGAAAGGAACAACAATCCTCCCAACACTGGCCAAGACCTTGTCAGTTCCTCTCACACTACAATCTCTAGAGAGAGTTACAAGGCTTGAGAGAAAAGAGGGTACAAGGTGAATTTGCATGTGGGCACCAGAAGACCCCTAGGTTTTTGCTGCTGGCTATGTTTAAATGACAGCTCACTCATCTCTGCAAGTCTGAGTCCACTCCAAGCTGTGCTCTGTCATTAGCAATGACCCGAAGGTGGATCTCGGGTTTATTCATATGAAGAGCTCAGTACAACCCTGAGGAGCACCAATGCCCCTAGATGCTCTAGTAGTATCAGAGCATTACAGAGCTACAGACAAGCAACTCCAAGGTTTCGTTGCTTAAAAACACTCCAGTAACTAACCACTGCTTCACCTGGCTTGCCGGATGGCCTCTAAGGGGACTAGTATCCATTTCAGTCCCTAAGTGTGGGCAAATAATCATTCATAAATGAATGGAGAAAAAACAACCAACCTTGGGGATAACAGAAATGGCCTTGGTATTCAAATGTAACACATCACAGCCCTTAAATTCTAGAAGGTAGCAATGAAATCTCAACTCCAGAAAAGTGAGGTTTAAGAAAACAAGGGGTTGTTACTTTACTCCTGTCAAATTCAGGGGAAAAAAAAAACACCAAAAAAAAATGTTCCTTACTTATGCACATATGCTTGAGGTGGACATCTTTCATCCCTCTTTTCTTGAGTATGAGATTTCTCCTGTTCACAATCACCTCATATTGCTTGCTTGCCAACCCAATCAACTAATTCCTTTCTTGATCACTGGTCGCAGTCTCCCTCCCTTGTTGTTCCTGGCTGTACGGCCTGTCGGCAAAGATGGTTTTGCCACACTTAGATGGATCCTGTCTCTTCCAAAGCAGTCCTCAGTCCACAAAGGGGTTCCCATGATCATAAAACCCCAAACCCTGTTGTCGAAACCAGCTGTGCAAAAAGTGGTTGACATGCAGAATTGGTCCACTCCTCTACCCCTCACCAGAAGGATTAAGAAAACCACCTGGGCTCCATGGCCTTGATCACCACTCCCAGAGCCACATATTCACTCTTTATACTGTCCAGGTCTCCCCAGCAGAACTGTTCATGCCAATATGGAAGAGCAGCAGAGGATAAGCATCTGAGGGACAGATGCTTTGGCAGTCTTTCTACCATGTCCCAAATGTGAGGCCCTGACAAGCGGCACACCTCCCTAGGATGACAGGGCAGATACGCTGATCCCAAGTTTAGATATATTCCCTGATCTCACCAGGAACTGTAACATTAAGGCAATGAAAGGTTTTAATCATATTTTACGAAAACCTTGGGATCATGGATGAGGAGTAAAACGACAGTGCTTCTCACAGGTTGGGCAGAAACTGCTGCCAGATAGGCTTTAGGCTGATGGATAAGCTAGTCCTCTTCAGTCCAGGGAAGTAATGACAAATTTTGATCCCTGTTGTCCACTTTAACATAACTAATTTAAAAAAAAAACATAAAATAATTAAAAAAAAAACAAACCACCCCAAAACCTACCTAGTAGAGCCCTTCCAGCTCTTAAGCAGAGAATTGCTCATGGAAAGAAAAATAGCGCTCTCCAGTGAAGAACACAGCTTGGGTCGCAAGACAGAAGGACAGCGGACTTGGTTGGCAGACATTTCCTGCCAGATTTGCTCTCAGACTACAAGGAGAAAACAAATAAAAATCTCCAACACCACCCCAAATCTTCAGTATCTCAAAAAAGAGAAAGCCTAGCATGAAAACTCGGAAAAGAACAGGTTGCTATAGGATGAGAATCCTGACAGTATCCCCAGATGAGCAACAAACATGTTCAGGAGAGCAAAATTACCTCGAATAACAGCTCCATAAAGAAACAATCCTGTGGTGTACCAGTGAATTCCAGGATGAGACAGAGTTTAACTTGTTTCTGACAATTTCTAAGACAAAGGAGTTGAAAAATGTTGCTCTTTCTGCGTGACACTGAACGAGTACCATTCATTATAGGGAAAAAGGTCCCTCTAAACAATTTGGGATGCTACCATGGCCAAGATCTTCATACAGCTCAGATCTAGCGTCCGGTGTGCGTTCATTGTGCTGGGAAGGGTAGATTGGAGGTTTTCTCCAACTAATCTTTCCCAGCCTACAAAATGGGAAGAGGAAGATTATTTGGGGGATGGTGGTAGAATTAGGGTTCTTTGGCTTCACTTTTCAAGGTGACACTGGGGTGTACAGGAGGATGTCAGTCAAGGGAGAGCTGTGACAGAGTTTGTTGAGAGAATCTCTGCTTGTAGAAATTCTGCTTAAAATAGCCTTGTCAAAACAGCGATGCCCGCCTGGGTCAGCCTCTCTTTCTTGTGCAGACATGGAACAGCTCAGCTTGGTTGCTTTCCACATCTCAGCTGGAAACTCAAGTGAGTGCAACACCACTGGAGAATCCTTGAAGGAGCAAGGGACTCGCCTACTCTGTTGCTATGCAAGGAGTCTTCTGAATGATAAAGTCATCCAAAATAGCACATTTGGTGCAAAGCCTAAAATATAGGGTCGGGTCACAAACAGTTCACGAGCGTGACAGTTGTGGCCAGAGGCTCAGAGCGTGCACCGACTTGGAAGAAGATGCACACTGCAAGCCACATGTCTGACAGAGCAGTAATCACATCTCAGGATACGTTAACAGTCGAGAACCCCACAGCCAAGCACAGCATCTTGCACCTGGTGATTAACCAGTCTCATCTGCAGAGAGGGTTGAGAGAATTATCAGAGTATAATGACCAGAAACTAAGGAGCTCTTTGCCAAGTCAGGCCACTGACTGACACCACAGCACTAACAAAGAATGACCTGAAATCCATCATAAATCAGAGAGATGCAACAGGTTAAAAAAAAGAGACCCCCCCTGTGCACTCCAAAAAAAATCAGGACAAGAAGATAACCGCAATCAGGGCAAATGCTGGCAATACCAGCAGCGAGCTAAGTTTCTAGTAAGACAAGCGAGGCCGTGCTGCACAGTAGCCTCTTCCACCTATTAGGAGCTGGCTGGGGGAGTCAGAAACCGGTAACTCCGTGGTTGGCAGTGCCACAATCCTCTCTGCAGTTCTCATGGCTACATGTTAATTATGCTTGAGCCCAAGGAACCCAGAGACTGCACAGTCCCAAGGGACATACTAAACTTCAGTGAAAAGTATTTCTGGCATGAATCATAGAATGGTTCGGGTTGGAAGAGACCTTAAAGCTCATCCAGTCCAACCCCTGCCATGGCCAGGGGCACCTCCCACCTGACCAGACTGCCCAAAATCGATGGACCCTGAATGCCAAAAGAGGAACGTGCAGCCTGACCTGTTCCTCCACCACAACTCAGCAGTCCACGTTTTGTGAGCTACCACAAGCCAGTCAGGAATGCGAGTGCCAAGAGCATTAGCACAGCACAACAGCTAACAACAAGGACTTCTCCAGAAAAGATGAGGGACATAACTGTTTAGCATCGATGGTCTCAGATCCCAGTAGTCAGTGAAGGTAACGGTGTCAGCGGAGGCTGCAGAACCAAGTGCCAAGAACACAGTTTGAACACTCACAGACATCACATTCTGTTAGCCATGGGTGCACTTCCTCTGCAGCAGCAGCTACTCACCCATTTTATAAGATGCAGCTTGTCTGACCGGGCCAATCTTTATGACTCTCTGGAGAAGTCTAAGCTGTAGCACTATGGACTGAGAACTGAAGAAGTGGCTATGCTGGCAGCAGGCCTAAGATCCAGTCTCTAGATTGAAGGTCTAACTGGCCGATGAGCCCTCAGACAATTCAGGAGAATGCTCAATACGTGAGATGCTCAGTTCAAAACAATACTTGGATCCACATGGGCTCTAGGCTCAGGGTGAGACACTGCATCCAGTACACCCAAAAATTTCAGCAGATACTACTGCATGCAGCACTTCTGTCCTTGTAGATGCTGCAGCTGGAAGGAACGGACCTTTCCCTGAGACTATAAAGCATCAAGTATGAGGTAGATGCTAGGATGCATGCAGAAAATCATAGTGGATTCACTACTGGGCTGTAGTAGAGCAGGTTCAGCACAAATCACACCGCAATCAAAAAGGCTATCTCAGCAAACACCTCATATTGGTAAGCTGAGAAAAGCTCAATGTGCAAGGGCATGCTGGCTTGAGTCAGTACAGCACGGAGCGGATGGGGCCGCTGTGTCCCCTGTTTATAGCACTACAGTTAAAATCTTTTCATCATATTCACTCAGGAGCAAAGTTTGAATCGATTTGCCAGTAACCAAGGTACAGGTTAAAATTTCAGGATACTTATAAGCAGTAAAGGTTGGCTATTTGTCATCACCCACCTGGCCTTGTTTCCAGCACTCTCTGAAGATCTTCCAGTTGTTCTTGTTGCTAGGATCATGAAGGCAAAGGAGTCTACCATCACACAGCCAAGAATGGGAAGTGTGTGGATCCAGCACATTTAAGCCCATTACCATTTCCTTCACCTCTCTCTGTGTGTCAGCTATATTACTAGCTCGTTTTGCAGTATCAGACGTCTTCTTATTTTCCACCACAGAAGCAATGATATGGTCAAGGAAGTTAGGCAAGCTGGCTTTACCTTTGGCTCCCTAGAGGAAGTAAATCCAGAGGTAAGTTTAGTCTTGCAACAACATACACATTAATGCATATCTGCTGTCGCTCAGATTTCAGTCACTGACATCTTGCTACCAGAAAAACATACAACAGTAAACAAGTCAGCTCAGAGATAGGCAGGTATCCAGTAAGAACAGGAACAGCTATGCCCCCAGTCTGTAACAGAAACTTAAAATAACCTGCCACAGGCTATCTAGAAAAATATCACAACGAACAATCATGGAATATAAAAGTTAAGTGATTTGAACTCTGCTACTTCAATGCTAAAAATGGTTCATATTTTTCTTAACTTAATTAATATCTCAACTCTATTTCTCATTTTACTCATACCATTACTAAGAAAGTAAATTCAACCCTGACACAGGTAAGCTGATAAATATGGGAACACGTGTACTGGTCCACGGTGATAAGGTCCCCCGAGCCTTCTCTTCCCAAGGCTGAACAGGCCCGGTTTTCTCAGCTCTTCCAGTCCTCTGAGCATCCTCGTGGCCCTTCTCTGGACCCTTTCCAACCCGTCCGCATATTTTTGTATAGCAGGGACCAAAACTGGACACAGTGCGCAAGGTGTGGTCTGAGCAGTGCCGAGTAAAGAGGAATAATGACTTATTTGTCTCTGCTGGTGATGGCCTTTTTAATGCAACCCAGCATCCTGTGGCTTTCTTTACAGCTGCAGCACGCTGTTCACTCACATTGAGCTCCTCATCCACCAAGACCCTCAGATCCCTTTCTGTATTTAACTCCCTTTCTTAATCTCTTGCAAGAAACAGCTGCTCCACAGCAGCAAACCAAACCACAAACTAACGATTAGCACAAAAACCCTCTACAGTTTTGTGGAGTGGTTAGTTTAGGTGAGTGATTGTATTTGTTTCAACATTTAAGAATAAGACACTATAAAAACACTTAAAAAATGTTAGATCAACATGAAATTCTTCCCTAGAACAGGTATCATTGAAGGAACACAAAATTATTTACCGTAGAAGCTGCAGAGAAGACCGGAGGAAAGGGGATTCCTGTCTCTAACGGGGCCTGAGGAAGCTTTCCTGGCCCTGTGTGCAGCAGATCTCTGAGGCTGGAGCCTTCGGCCTTGTTGCTAGATGTCACTGGGCCCAGCAAGAGGCTGTTGAACAGCTTTGGGGTTAGTGGAGAGACCTTCGTACTGGAGTTGAAGGAATCCAATCCAAAGGGTGAATGGGACTCCTTATTAAGCACTGACCTCAGTGATCCTGACTCTGCAAGGAAAATACCAACGTTGAGGGGAAAAAAAGGCAAAGTTGAAATGATCACAAAGGTCTCTGAAATTATTTGCTCTTGCATTAAACAGGATATTGACAGATCTTGTGGTAAAGGCAAAGTGACACCTCAAAGAAAACCAAGACATCAGGTACTTCACGTAGATTTTACCCTTAGTACGCGGTCATTTAAGGTTTTGAATAGCACGGTAGATCTCATCTGAAAGTGTTTGATATAGAAGAAATCACAACAACAGTTGTAATAGACTCAATTAAAAAACATTCCTGTGACGAATTAATGTTCCAATATGAAATATTTCAAATTTTAACTGCAGTCAAAACATTAAAGTAGCTGAGCCCTGCAAAACTGGTGAAAGAGCCATCAGCATTTAACACAGACTTATAAAGTAGTTAATGCTAGATTTATGGACAGGAAAAATACAAACATATAAATCCTACGTTAGTCATCCTGCCTCTGACAACTGCAAGCTGTATTCTGTAAAAGTTACTTTATATTGAGAATCAGTGTCAAACCATTGAGTATTGCAGAAGTTCTAAGCTTTCATCTGACCCTCCAAGTAGACTCTGTTCCCTCAGTTCTTTGGAAATGCACTCTTCACGTAGCACACAAAACAGCTTTATTTACTTCAATACTTATAAAGTGACAAAGCTGCATCTGAAACTAATTTCTATTGTTTTACATCAGGATATTAGCTGCTTATTACTCAGAAAAAGTAGATACAAGAACTGGCACTGAAATAGACTGGGAGTGACAAGATAGTATTTTTATATGACCGTGTTCTTTTCTATTTAGGGCTAGGTACTTGCATAAAGAATAGCAACCAAGCAGCACATTATCATTTATCTTTTCATTTCAACCCCAAATGTCACGTCTTCTGCTCACCTTTTGTTTCTTCCTTTGCTTTTTGCGTTGCTAAATCTGCGAGCCAGTGTAAGGCTGATGACGGAGCTGTTTCTGGACAAAGTGGTCTGTTGCTCTTTATTTCACCAGCGTTATTGGTGGGCAATGTCTCTGTTTTTGCAGATTCTTCTATCCTACTATCAGCTGCTTCCGATTTTGGAACACTGTCCATTTCTAGTTGCCCCACTCCTGCTGTCCCTGCTCCAGTGGAAAAGGTGCTCTCGTTTCCAGAGGCTGATGCACTAGAATTTACAGTCGGGAGCTAAAACAAAAATATAAACAACTGCTAAATGTTGAATAAAGCAAAGAGTTCAACTTCAGAGACATTTTAGTTATCCAGCACATTGGGTCTTGTTGGTTTTGTTTGTTCATTTGCTATAATTGCACAGTAGAGTTCCTTTATGCTTATATAGCAGCAGAGTACTGGAGCTTCTTCTGTTTTGTTTTTGGTTTTGTGGTGGGTTGCTTTGGTTGGATTTGTTTGTTTGTTTTAATACAGGAGCACTTTTTGTGTGATCAGTAACAGAACTGCTCTGGGTTCAGCAAAACAAAATAAGTGTAACAAAACAAGTGCTCATATTGCAAGCCGCTCATAGTGGTTTGCTTTAAGATACAGCATCAGTATGAACAGCTTCCTACTCAACTTCTACGTAAGAGTATTAGCCCAAATATCCACTTGGTAAATAACAGCTGCAGCGCACATGCCCGAAAATCATCCCATAAGATTTTTGCTAAGATAAAACACTCAGAACACATACGGAGAAAATAAAGTTTACGCTTCACAACAGACTAGTTTACAGGATCTGGTGTTTTAACAGATCTTAAAAATGTAATGTCTAACAAGGTAATTACAGCCTCAAATTACGTACCTGTGCTATTCCATTAGTGACAGCCGGTCTCAACACAGATTTGTTTTGTCGGTTAATACATGGACAATTGGCTTTAATACCCCATTTGCCTCGTGCTGCATGAACCATGTCTCCAATATTGTAAAGCGCTGGAAAGAAAAGTTAAAATCTTTAATATTACACAAAGAAATCTAATACAAAGGCCTTAACTATAATACATATTCACTGGGGTGGAGGTTTTTTTAGTATTACTGCTAAGGATCTTTAAGATCAAATGCTATAGCAAGACACTCGTCTCTGAATAGTGTGGAGAATTGTGCTAACACGAGTTTCACAACGTCACTGACAGGCTGTCAAGCCTGGCAAATCCTACAGATCATCATCTGTTCATACTATTCCATATAGGGGCCAATGATACAGTTGCCAATAAAGCAACTCAGAACCATCAAAAGAGACTATATATGTCCTGGAGCAATATTAAAAAGATCTGGAGCATAGGTGGTGTTCTCCTCTATCCTCCCAGCAAGGGGAAGGAGGTGACAAACGGGCAAATGCCTGGTCGAATGGCCAGTGCCATACTCAAGGTTTTGGTTTCTATGATCACGAAAATACCTTTGAGAAGCTGAGTCTCTTGGGATCTGATAGGAAGTCACCCCTCAGCCTTCCCTTCTCCAAGCTGAACAACCCAAGTGACCTCAGCCACTCCTCCTAATCTTGTCCTTGAGATCCTTCACTGTCTTGGTCACCCTGCTCTGGACACGCTCTAACAACTTCATGTCCTTGTGCTGAGGCAGCCAAAACTGCACACAGTACTCGAGGTGGGGCTGCGTCAGTGTCAGGTTTGAGACCACCGCTTGCAGCCCAGGAAGCCGTACCATATCCTGGGCTCCATAAAGAGAAGCATGGTCAGCAGTCGAAAGAGATGGTTCTTCCTCTCGACTCGACCCTACCCCACCTCACCTGCAGTCCTGTGTCCAGCTCTGTGGTGCCCCGTACAAGACAGACATGGACCTGCTCCAGCGGGAGAGACACAGAAATGAGAGGGCTGGAGCCAACTGTCTCCTATGAAGAAAGGCTGAGACAGTTGGCACGGTTCAGCCTGGAGAAGAGAAGGCTCTGGGGAGACCTTATTGTGGCCTTTCAGTGTATGAAAGGGATCATATATAAAAAAAATTAAAGAGACTTTTAACCAAGGCCTGTAGTGAGAGGACAAGGGGCAAGGTTTTTAAATTGAAAGAGGGTAGGTGTAGATTGGACGTAACAAAGATTTTTTTACAACAAGCATGGCAAGACACTGGCCCAGGTTGCCTGGAGCAGCTGTGGACACCCCCTCCCTGGCAGTGCCCAAGGCCAGGTGGAATGGAGCCGGTGGGAGGTGTCCCCGCCCACAGGATTTGGAACTGGATGATCTTCAGTGGTCCCTTCCAAGCCAAACCACTCCACGATTCTATGACTTTTAGGACCAGTTATGTAAACAGACAAGCAAATGGTCAGGACTGACCGTTCACTTTTCCTCCCCAAACAAAAGATCTTTCTTCCAAGTTAACCAAATTTACTGATACAACTAAAAACAGCTGAGCACAAGAAGTCACAGCTAGCATCAGAAGAATGTTCACTTCGAACTCACAGATCGATCTTACGCGGCTTACCTTCCCTTCAACTCTTCCGCTGTAGCAAGTGGGAGTCTCCTCTAAACTCATGCTAGAAAAGGCAACCGCTAGAACACCAACCACTGTAGAATTTTTCCCACTTGCTTGCTCAGAATTGAGAAAAAAAGAAAGAGGAATTTGTCCTTTCAGGTTTCAAGCATTACCTGTACCAGGAATGATCTGTGTCGGCATAAGATTCTCTGGTTCATGAGACTGACCCTTTGCGCACTTCAGCCACGAGAAGACTTCCTCATCACCAATCTCCTCTGTCTCTGGAATAAAGACACAAAAAAGGTAAAATTTTGCAAAAGCCACTGAAACTTCACAATACAGAATATTTCTGCATCAATATTGTTTCTTTAGACTCTTTGCAGTGCAGGAGATTAACCTGGTGATCTCCTAAACTATAAATACAGACCTTTAGAACAGGATCTACAGCAACTTCTTTGCCTCTTCAGACTACACAACTATCACAGTCATTTTCCCTTCATCTCTGGTAACTTGTTCTTTTCAACCACCTAAAAGTCTTGGCTTCTAGCCTCAATTTTTGAATTTCATACTTTTTTTATTATGCTTTCTTAAGTTATAAAGTAATTCTATCTTTGCTCATCGTTATCTCCCAAGCTTTTTCAACAAAAAAGTATCTGCAGATTGGCTGCAGGAAGAGGAAACTATGCTCTCCTGTCAGTTTATCTACTTACAAAGCTAACAAGTAGCAAATTTAAAGTTTGAAAAGAAGTGTGACAAATTTATAATTCTTCAGCTTTTAAACCCAACTGGGCCTACAAATAAGTAGCTGCATAAGCTGCACGCTATTCTCTTCCTTTGAAAAGGAAGGTGGCAGGGAAGGGCGAGTGGGGTAGAATATGAGAAGGATCTCATAAGAATTCAGGTCAGGGTCCTTTAGACCTGGTTATCTCCACAGGATGTTTCTACAGCAAAGTTCAGGAGCCTCTTGAGGCAAGTAATTGTATTTAAGTAATGCCTTGGTTCTACATTTTGGCCCATTCCAAAATTTCAGACTTGATTAATAATCCAACACTACAACACCGTTTTGAGAAAGACATCATTGATAAGCTACACACACCCCTCCATCACTTGACATAGCAAATTCTCAATCTTCTCAATGCTGATCCCCCTCTGTACACCAGTGAGTAAACGCTACTCATGTGCTCAGGAGATCTCTTCATTTTAACCTGGCATGGGTGAGGTTACCACGTTTATTTCCTTGATGTGAGAAGAAGAGTGGTTAAGAGACGACTGCCCTTGAATCATGGACGTATCCTTGTTACAGAAAGGAGCTCTCTGCAATGTCTGCTTATGAGCTCATCCTGTGATGGTTCCCAACTGTTAAGATATTACCTTAATTGTTCTTTTATACTCTCCAAGGAAAAGCTGGAACTATACAGTAGCCTGTGTCAGTATACAGCCTATGCTGACATTATAATTTTAATACATGAATTCTAACCAAATAGATAAAGCACAGCTATCAAAGGAAACAAAGACCAGAATGGCATCATATAAAACAGGAGTGCCAAAATCCCCAACCTCCAGCCTCCCAAGCTGATACTCATTAACTCTCCCACAAAACCCTCAGCAAATCCCCAGAAACTATCCCCACCAAAAGCCAGCCAGTCCAAAGATCGCAGCAGGGGAAAAAGTCCAGTACTCACCGCTACGGGGACGATTCTTCCTCAGCCGGTAACAGTCCAGACAGACCCCAAAACCACACTTGCGACAAACCCAGTGAATGTTGAAGAAAAAAATCACACATTTCTCTCACGCCACGTACTGCTCGCTTCCACGCCACCTTCTCTATAGAGAGAAGGAACATTAGAAATTATCGCTTTGACATTTTGCATTTCTCCCACCTAATTTGAGAATATCACAGCAACACTGATAAAGAAACAACTCACAGAAGCATGACCTGAGGGCAGAGTATAGAAACACATACTTTTTGTATGTCTTGTGACACTATTAAAATCCCCGTTTTCAAGAGCGGGTAAGGTCGAGTCCCAAAATGTGCGCACTACGAGGAAAGGGAGCACCTTACAGAGTTCTGTAGTAACTGGATTTCAACAGAACTTACAGCAAAATTATGAAATTTCTGCTAGTTTATGAAAAAATAACATGAACTTATAAAGCTATAAAGAATGTGTATTTAGTTTTCCTAACTGGATGTCTGTCAAGTCTTTGGATTCTAAACCAACACACAGTGAGGAAGGGGAAGTCCTCTCCAAATGGCTGTCCCTGAACATTCCAGAAGCATAAAGGAAGACTCAGGCAGTGGAGCCATCCACGCGACGGCAGAACCTTTACAACACGTTTCCTCCACCCACTCGCCTTGCAGTGGCAACGCTGTCTCCTGGCTGCTCAGCTGAGAGCTTGCAGGCCTAGAAAACCCTGAGCTTTTCTGTGATGTCCCTGGAGCACCACATCACAGAAATATGCCAGAAAAGCTGCTCATGAAGGCATAGCTGGTCAGTGTGAGAAGTTTCTCTTTTATTAGGAGCATGGGCTGGCTGATTTCTGCATTTGTTTATTTAAAAAAAATTTAATGCCATCTGGGAAAGTTACCATTAACTTCCTTGGTAGTAACTGATCCAAAAGAAAAATCCCAAATGCTGGTCCCACAATTACACTTCCCCGCCCCTGCCAAAAGAAGTGAATATAGCCTTTTCTTTTGAATAAAAGGAGAAGCATTCCAACAAGAAATCATATTACACTTTCAATTCTATTTCACTGCATTGTACACACATTACACAGAGAAAACGGACAAAAACCATGTCAAAAGCCCTGCTTACGATGTGGCTCCACCATCATCATTGCCTCCTTCTCTGACATAACAAGCTGGCAGAACTGGTCCCCGACATTGGCCAGGATATATTTGGAAGTTTCCAGATCGATCCCCTCTGCAGGGGAGGAGGAAGGAATCCACAGGCTCATGGCATCAGGGTCACTCTGCTGTGGGTTCAAGAAACCCTCTACTCGTAGAATACCTTTCCGAGTAAATATCAGTCTGCAGAAAACAGAGAAAGTAATTGAGAAGCTGCTCAACCACCTTTAATTAACTTATAATGCCATCTACATCAGAACTGAGACTCAGAAAGGGGGAAAAAAGGCTTGAGCTAAGAGCGCTGTACTTTACAGGCAGTACAATTATGACAAATCCAAGTAACACAGAGAATAAGGGACAAGAAGGCAATAGCCGCAAACCCCACTGGAAGGAATCCTCAGGTGCCAGTAAGCATTGGTGGGAAATTCCACACAGGAAATTGCTATAACTCGGTAAGTCACGTTTTTCTATACTAATAGAAAGAGATAACAAAATTCAATTTAATTGGGCTGCCCCATGATGCTGCTTGTAAAATTGTGCATGGTTCTCGTTCTCTGTTTTAACTATCTTAACTCAGTTATTTCCCAACTTTTGGGAAATCAGTATTTCAGTTCTGGCTAGGGCCGCTAGCGCTGGTTCTGACAGTCCACACTACAAGAGACACAAAAGTCCCAATTGCTCCAGAGATGAGTCACAACTGTTTTATCAGCAGCTGCTGACTCTCCTAGTCTTTGTGTGGTAAAAGGTGTAACAACATAAGTTACAGAAACCTGAATGTCTCCTGCCACTATTAAAAAGGTAACTTCACTTCTAAGCAAAAACAATCTTGTCTTTAATCTCAATGCTAGATTAATTTTTAACAAGTTCAGGAAAGGAAACAGCTATAATCCTTACTGGATGGGGACACTAAAAATTCACTTCATCTTTTACACGCCAGAAAGTGAACAAACATCGTTCTGGAAAAAGATGGACAGCATTTACTAGAGCAGGCAGTTAAGGAAGATGAAGATAAGAATGAGAGGTCAAAGAACTGAAGGACACGTACACAACACAGAGAGAAAACACGGGCAGTTTTCTGAAAACACCCACTCCTGAAAGTCATCTCCGTACTCAACAAAACCCAGTCAAACATTAGCCTCATGCTGGCAATGTTTAGCTACTTGTTGACTGAATTAAAATTTTGCCTCTGTTCTGAACTCCTTACGAAAGAGGGAGAGAACAACCCTACAGGTCTACCCAATGGAGCAATTTTAATCTCCTGAGGCTGGACCTGGAGGCTCACTTAGTATCACAGCTTTGTCTTCCAACAGCAGCTCTTCCTGACCCAGCGAGGGAATTCCACTCAGGTGATGCAGGGAAACGCAAGATACTCAAAATCTTCATTATTGTACCCAAACACATTAAATAAGTAAAACATAATTACTCTGTGCTTGGACACGGTCCAAGCTCCGCACACAGGCGACACAGGAGGGAAGGAAGAATTTGCGTACCTCCGGAAATGGAAGAAGCGACACGCCACAGTTGAGTCATCCTGCTCTTGCTCCTTAAATTTGCGGTACCGCTCCAGACGGCACTCCCGGCACTTGTGCAGATGTGGAGCTACATTGATGCAAGAGCCATCTTGGAGAAAAGGCTCACCTGACTGCTTCAGCTTCCTCACCTTACTCATATCCTTCAGCACAGACTGGCCAACTGAGCAAGGCAAAGGAGAAGTAAAAATACATTAGTGAGCTGCAACAGCAAAAGAATGCTGGTCTCAATAAACATATTTTCAGAGATCTGTATGCTTATACTCATGCAAAACCAGTAAGACTGTTCAAGTTTGCGGCATAGCACACTTCTGTCCTCACAGATACACACTTAAACATTTCTCAACGTGAACATGTTCATTCACATACAAGCAGCATTAAGCATTAGCCTTGTAAACATCCTGTGTGCTACCTACTGAGTATAAAGAGGCTGACACCTGTGGTTAGTTCACCTAGTTCATCACGCAGGAGATATCCCAGTATCCCACCTCCTTATGCTTCCAAGACACCCTGCATTCATCACCTTTTAGGGGTGCTGTGCGAGGCCGGCCCTTTGGGGCTTGCTTCCCTTTTCCTTTCCCCAGCAGCAATTCAGCGTTGCGCTCTGCATTGGGGCCCAGCTTTGCCATCAAGTGGTCTGGGATTCCCTTCATACAAGCCTTGGCCTGCAACTGGTCTTCGGAGTCGCTCAAATCCGACAGGTCGCTATTGCTACTGGAGTCCGAGTCCTGTTTGGATGTCAAGCTCCGCTCATCTAGAGAGAACCTTTTCACAGCTTCAAAAGGGGCTCTGTTCTCCTGTGGAAACTCTACCTGTGAGGAGAAAAAGCCAGGTGGATGTCTGCCAAACACATTAGAAAACGTTTTCAGAAGAGGATTGTCCTGCTGCCCAGGCCCAACAGCTGGCTTTTCTTCCGTTGGGCTGGAGGAAAGCGTGGGCATCTCAATAGGCTGCGTCAGGTTGCTGGTCGGTGAGCTGGAGCGGCCATTCCCTACAGCGGAAGGGCTCTGAACACCAGCAGCAACTGTTGAACCAGGAGCACTGGAGATCATCTTTGAGGAGTCAGTTGTTATAAACAAAGTTTTCTTCTTCACTAGAGAAGAGTCTGTAGAGGAGAGCGACTCTGGCCAGCCAGAAGTGCCCTTCTGACCCATGGGGGCAGAAGTCCCTGTCTGAGATGAAGATGCAAAGCCACTGAAAGGACTAAGTTCTGCTTTCTCAGCAAATGCCAGGAAAGGGTTTGAGGGCTCCTCTCTTGATAGCTTTGGGGGCTGTAAAAATAGGTTTTCATGATTATCTGGGGGGCGAGTATTCAACAGACTTCGTGAAAAGGCTGGAGTAAGGGTGGGCATGGACTCCACAGGCAGCTTCCGCTCCACAGAGCTGCCAGACGGGGCTCCTGGTTTAGTGTCCGCTGGAAGAATTTTACCTTTACAGATGCCAGCACCCACGCTCTCTGTACACTGCTTGAACGAGTCCCGACTAGAGGCATCTTCAGTCAAGCTCTCTGAAATGACTGTAAAGTAGTTACTGGAAGGTAGATTTTGGGACATGCACTGAAAAAACAAGTTCTTGGACAGATCAGAATCTTTCTGAGCCTCCTGTCCAGTACTACAGCCAAAGGGAAATCCAGAAGGCTTGCTTTCGGGAGCCACCACTCCATTTGATTGGCTCCTTCCACTCCCAAATGCCAAGGACTGGGAAGCACTTGGGAGAGAGACTCCAAACCCAGAAGAAGTCAAAAGCGAATTCCGAGAATTCTGAAACGAAATTAAAAAGCAAAGGATTAAAGGATTCTTGTTTGATTCAGCAATGCTGTGGTTCATCTAACTGTACAATTAACAGTCTACTTCTCCACCTGTAATAGAAGCTTCCAGCAGAATTACTCGCAATGAAGAAGACTCTAAGATTCTGCTAGACTAATTCTTCCTACCTACGAGCTATTGAAACTAATCAGCTAACAGTGTCTGTTACACATTAAACACACATGGAGAAAACAAACATTTAATATCCTACAACACTTTAGAACAGAAGTGAGACACAAGACAAGGTGCACTAATGCACAGAAAAGAAAGTTATTTAAACTGCTGGCAGTGTTAATTTTGATCAGCCAGAAGGGAACCGTAACTGATTAACCTTAACTGCTTTTCAGTAATCTCCTTTCACCCTCCCCCAAGATGATCCTGACAAGCTTCTCCTACTTAACCAGCACTCTTGAAATTATTACCTCGGTCTGCAGAGGTAATGCACAAGGCGAGCCCTCCAGCAGTGAACACGCTGTTCTGTCGCAGCAAGCCCCATCTGTGACAGGTGCCAACGAAGTGGTGCCCTCCAGGGGACAGAGGGTAAGCACCAAGGGCTTCACTTGTTACGATCTTCAAATACTGGGAAGTTTTCTGACTTGCCCGCTTCTACTAGATACCTAACTGTGATATGGAGTATTTACTCGCTCTCCTCTCTATTTGTAATTATTACGATTTTCCAGTTCTCACAGTCCTCCTGTAACTGATGATATTCTGTGACTGACACACCAGTCTACTCCTTTTCTTTTGAGCTTCCACTTACAAATACTCATGATTAACACACTTTTATTCCCCGGCCACGTTAAATGCAACCACAACCTCTGCACAACGCATCTTGCTGGTCACCAGCATCACTGCACACCTCCCACACTGTAAACTAATGTTCAGCTTGTTCCTCATTATCAACTTCCAACTGCAATAACTTTAATAACACGATGTCCCCACAACACTTCTTCCAGATATTGGAATTTCAGATATTTCCTTTCAGAGCCAAAGTAATTTTCGCAGACTGTGCTCTAACAGTTTTAAAAAAACATATGAATATGAATGCAAACCAAGCTTATTAAGTAATCCCAAGGAGCAAACCACACTATGATAAAGTGGACAGTCTAAAGCAGTAACACGTGTGAACCATCTACAACACTCCTACTCATTTATGTCAGGTTCCCTCCTTCAAGGAAAATAGACTCTGAAATGGACTAGAGCAAATTCTGAAGCCAGATCATTAATAATGATTTAAAACAACTGATTTGGCGTTGGGGACAAGAAGGGAAGGAGAGGTGGTACCAAAATCTCCCAGTACAATTAAAGCTTTTCCTTAAAGCCGCTGAGGACAGATACAATTCGCAGTTGCTCCCAACTCTGAACTTTTCTTTTTGTTTCCTTGAGTGGGGTGGGTGGCGGAGCACAGGCGATGCTGTTGTACAATCTAACTGCGTAACGCTCCTGTTTTCTACAATCTTGTGTTTTCTTTACAATTTACCATCTAGGGCTCTATCCCAAAGCACACATCTCACCTTCCCACCCTGCTCCGTAGCCAATACAGCAGAAGGGGATGAAGGTACTCCATTTAACCTCCTGGCAAGCACCTCGGACTCTCTAATGCGTCTCCCATTTTCTTCACTTTTCTTATACAGTAGACTACACGTAGTGTAGTACTAAGGTGGGGGGGAGTTAGTTTTGTTTTTAGAAGCCTTCATTTGATTACTTAAAAAGCCCTACGTTCTGTTTTTAACAGTGTTTCCCTTCTACTTTTCCACGTTTCCCCTTGAAGGTAAAAACACAACTAAAAGGTCTTCAAGCTGCTTCCAGACTGACCTCTCTATTAAAATTTATTCTAAAGGAACTCATCTTTAATGTTTTAATTATTTCTTTGTTTTCAGTCTTAGACAGTGCATGATGTGACCGGCTCATTTTTCTACTACAAAGATGACATAGGTGTGACAGACAAGTTGGGCATCTATAGAAGGTCCTGTAAATGTAGTCTCGTTTTTCTGGTTTTGAGGCTTGTTTTTAAAGTAACTTAAATGTGAAACTTGGTGCACATTCTCATGCATATTAATTTATATCAAGGCAAGAGATATTAAGTAAGTCATCTTCCATATAACATAAAATTAATTATATTAAGTGCAGTGCTTAAAGCGACTTTAAGGCTGCATTTCTTGATTAAGGCTGAATGAAGTTAAGAGTGCTAAAAAGTTGTCTCTTAGAAGTCCTCCACCACGTATCTTAAGTTTTCTTTTTAGTTCTTTCTTAGATCAGATAATAGATTTCCTTTGGGAGAGAAAGGATTCATCAGTGAAAAAGCAGCCTCCTCAGTTCCACAGACACACTCTGTAACAGGAATACGCTGCAGAACGCCTGTTGCAAATACGTGCGTCTGTCCTGGCTACGCTGGATCATGAGCCACTCACCTCTCCCTGGGCTGGTGATCGGCCTGTTTTCAGTTTCTCCTGCCCCGTAACAGCTGGCAAACTGGTGTCGGAGATCCTCACCGTTGTCAATGTCAAAGCAGTTGTAGTAACTGCAGCTGCAGAAGTCACCGTGCCTTGGCCAACCTGTTCCAGTGATTTTCCTGCCTCTTTACATCCAGCTCCAACTAGCAACGCTTGTCCAGCCACCGAGGAAAACGGAGTGAAGGGCAACGGAGTGTCACCACCAACTGGCTCATCTTGGACTACTAGCGTTCGGCCATTCTCTTTGGTGTAAGTGGCAAAGCGAATATTGCGATTAATCTGAGGAACGAACGAAGGCAACTGCTTGGCCCTTGGATCCAGTCCTGTTTCGCTATTGGAGCCGCCCTTCCAAGGGCCTCTGCTTGCCTCACCTCCATCACTGCCATTGCTATCCACCTCACCCCTCTCCTTCAGCTTCTTTGTTGCAGGATCACACCCAGAATCTGAAGCATTTTTCCTTCTACGTCCATCCTTTCCCTCCACACTTTCTTTCTTCTTTTTCCCTTTCGAGGATTTAGCTCCTTTTAGGCCCCCTCCCTGTAATAAACAAAACCACGCAATCACTAAGCAGAACAATTGGGAATGCCGGCTCAAAGAAGATTTTTCTGTCAGAACGAAGAATACATTGCACTGCTCTTAAGCTTAGGAATGTTTCTTTTAATCACGAATTGAGACATCTAAGGAAAGATACCACGTGAACACAGAACACAAGCGTTAAGTGCAGTCTTGTCTTTTTTTTGTACTAGGATAATACAGTAAGATTTTTAGCTGAGCTACTTTGCTATAGCACGAACCACATCATGGCAGATTTTGGGAAACATGCAACACGGCCGTACTCCAATGCAGCTCTTGCTGATGTATGAAAACTACCTGCACACCACCTTTTGCTGCAAGTCCAGTCCCTGCGGTTCTTTTGAGGTGCACACTTTATATCCACTACCCAAAGCCTACAATACTTAACTACAGGACACAGCTTGCCCTTTAGCCCAGGGTAAAGCCAGGCTCAAGTGTTCTCATGGAACCGCTCAACTGAGGCAATGAAATGCCACAAGCACACCAGCCTGCTTCAGAAAAGCCAGGTGGTAATTTTCAGAAATGCCCAAAAAGGTCTGTAAGGAAACAGAGCCATCTCATTAGAAAAAGGCAGTGAGCACACAGACATTCCTTCTCAGAGCACTACCCTTAAAATGGACCACAACAACCATGTTTCTTCACCCCCCACCAAGATCCATGCCGAACTCAGTAGAACAGTCCTGAACAAAAAGAAAAGAGATTGTTTAAAGAAAGCTATGACTATCTCTTAAAGTGGTACAGAAAATTTTCCTCTTGCAATTACATTATCAAAAGCCCACAGTAAACATAGCATCAGCTTTCAGTTGTTTCCATGTTTTAGATGTCTCGTATCTAAATCCTTATTAAGTTTCACACTGTATATACAAGATTTGAACTGTCGCATTACCTCGCTTGGAGAACTGTTATCCATCACCACATGAATCAGTCGAGGATCCACTGACTTTATTTCACCACTCTAATTTATGCAGATTGATATTGAGGAGGCAGGAGGAAGAAAAAAGGAGGTTAGTTTTTAATCCATAGTATCAGCATAAGAGACCTTAAACACAAGGTTACTCTGCAGCCCCACTCCCATTTGGCTTTTCTTTCTGTCCCACTTCCGTAGGAATACTACAGCCTTCTAGTTTACCTTCTATCCTTTTGCTCCTCCTCTATTTTTCTCTATTTATATCATATGGTATGATTCTATTTCAAAAACTTCCAGATTTGATTCCTACCGCTGTTTCCCTGTATATTTGTTCTACTAGGCACCTCTAAATCTGGGAGTCTAAGACCTAAATCTTCTCAAATTTAATTTATCCTTCCAGCCTGCTACACATTCACTCCGCTAGATGTAGAAAAACTACTGGAAGGAAGCACATCAGTTTATCCTAACTATCCTCATCAGCATCCATGGAGCAATGAATACCCAATGTCTGTAACTGTACTACAAGTAAACAGCCTAAGCTAAAACACCTCAATTTTGTTTAGACTAAGATTTCATCTTCTACGCTATGGCTGTTTCAAACCACTTGCACAGCCTGCCAGGCAGAAGCTAAGAGAGGGCACAGGAAGACCACAGCGTAACAGCCCCTAAGGTGGGTTTCTGCACACCAGCATGCACTCCCAGAAAGCCACTTCCAGTATTTTTTCACATAGAGCCCATTTCCAAATAAATTCTTACAGCTTGTTTTATAGAAGTGGGCTGTGTATCTTTATTTGTTGTGGAAAGTCATCGTAACAGAAAATAAACTGCGGGAATCACAGCATGGATAATTACTCATCTTTCAAAGAAAAAAGAAAGAACTGAAAGTACAAGATTTGGTGAAGCTGTCATTCTCCATGAGATATTGAGGAATGGTATTTTAGGAACACCAGGGCAGAGCTTCGTATTCTTACCTCAGTCACAGACACCTCCATAAGACGAGTTATTGGGTCTTGATGGCTCACAACACCACTGAGCCAGCTATTTTCATCCTCTGGTTGGTAAACTTTAACTCTTTGGCCTTGGACACTGTAAGGACCTGGAAAAGAAGAACTCTGAGTATATTTTCCAGACAAGCTTTGTGCCATACAAGTTAAGAGTCATATAATAAAAAAAAATAAATTAGATAAAAAAAGAAAGAGTTCTGTGCACACAATTAGGGCTTGAAGTGTCGTCTTTCCGGTGGAAAGAAATTAAAATGCTAGGGCTGCTGCCGCAAATCCTGCATAAGCCAAGCATTCTATTGCAAAAAGTCAATAAGCTCTCATTGCTGTAATTCAAAACTACTGTAAAGACAAAATTAATACGTTTACAAGTTAAAAAAGAAAGCAGAACATCAAAACAAACTTGCTCCTCTGACAAAATCAAGCTAGAACGGGGCTCCTTGCTAACTAAACTCTTCTGCTTTCTAGCCTACAGGTCAGTAATTATGAAGCATCTATCCAGTGGATGCATCAAATCCCAGTATAAAATGCATGCAGTCCAGAATGGAAACATATATTTGCAACTGTGGAAAATCTAATATAATTGCAGAAACATCCAACGTCTCTAAACCAACCAGTCTTAGTTCTTTGACATGAGTAACGGATCATCTACAGAAAGGTTTCCTCCAATTCTGCCCTCACTCTCCACATCAGCATGCAGAGCTTTCCTCCCACCCTAAGTCCAGACAAAAAGAACTTAGTTAATATTAGGTCATCCAGCTCCACAAGATCCAACAGCCTGTATCTGATACAGCCAGAACCAGGTGCTTCAGAAGACGACTCCAAACTGGACAGTTCTGAAGCTTGCTCAGGTAAGAAGTGCTGTCCTTATAGCATTTTCATCAATACACATTTTATTTAACCAAAAAGCACCAAATCCCCATTAAGAATTACATCATCCTTCAAATGTAACAATACAACAAAACTAAGAGAAATTGTAAATACATGGATCTTATCAATAATATGTTGTCCTACTTTAACTACATCTTCAGCAACCATTCCCAATAGGTATTTCTGGTGGTATCTCAGCAACTGCTTACCTGTGTCTGTGACAAAATAGTGCTTCTTTGCAAAGAACTTTCAAAACAATACAGAAAATTGACCTTTCAAATCTAATAGTAAGATACGATTACTATTCTCCTTCACAAATCCCAGCATAGTGTAACTGTTCCACAACAAAGTAGTTCTGAGATAGAAAAACACAACCTCACCTCTGCTAAATATTTCCTGAAGCTTCTGATCACTGATCAATGCATTGACAGATTCTCTTAGTGAAGGCTGCTCCTGCAGAATCTGATTTTGACTCTCTGTTCCCATCTGCCAACAACAAAGAGTTTTAACAGCAAAGTAGAGTATTTCAAGGTAACAGAATCATTAGTTTTTTAAGGGACAGCTCTTCTTGGACTGCTCTGAGACTGACCAAAAAAAAGGAACATTAAGAAAAGCATTGCTGAACATGCCAGGAGCAAAAAAACCAACTAACTATGCAAAAAGCTGTTCCAAAACTTCCACTGCAGTTATCAGCTACACAGCCAGCTCTCCAACTAACCAGGACAGAGAGGAACTAGGGTTTTTCAAATGCAGATGGAGGTTAGTGTAAGCACCTGGAAAAGCAGGGGAAAAAGCCTGTAAATACATGACAGGGCAGTGAAAGGAGGGAGACAAGAATATAGAAGTGGAACAGTAAAAAAAGAAAAAAATAATCTAACAAATCACCCCCCCGAGTTAAATTTGCACTTGTACCGCACACAGTTCACATACCTGAAACAAACGCAGTCCACTGGCATCAGACAGGAAACGTAGATGTCTGTCCAGAAGAAACTCCACTGGGACCACAGAGCCTAAACCCAGCTTATCCACTAGAGGAGTGAAGGTCTGTGACGAACAGCAAAAACCAAAGGTTACAGAAACGACAGAGCACACACAGGCCAACATCAGTCTGCATTCCCCCACAGTTATCTGGGTAGGTCTCTTGTACTTACTGAAAGCTCGAGCACTCTGTCCAGAGCACAGGGGATGGAAACCCTTTCAGCAAGTCTACAGACACAGCTTGACTAACAGTGGAAATACTCTGGGTCTCCATGGACCCACGTTTGGTTCTGTCAGCCTTCTGACTGCTCCCGACACAAGCAGTGCAGGGACTATGGTAACAGCCCCAAATCACTCAGATATCAAGACACCTAGGAACCATCTAAAAGAAATTGATCCTGTATAAACACGGTTTCCCAAATAAAATTAAACTGAAGTTGAAAGGAAACCTTCACCTCTGGAAAAAACCCAAAATATACAGAATCTCTGCTGTCAAGGCCTGGTTTTCCTCTGTCTTATGGCAACTGCAATAAAGAAACAGTCAGAGAACGATGCAGTGTTGAACTTGTCGCTTTGAGACCCAGTGTCAATTTAAAACACAAAACTCAAATTCTACCAAGGCACAAGGTCCTTGACTGAAAAAACCAAAACATTTCAGTGTGACCCAATGTGATTGGGGATTGGACTGGATGATCTTCTGAGGTCCCTTCCAATCCCTAACGTTCTGTGATTCTGACCATGCACAAAATGTAGTATTAAAAAGCAGACAGCAGGATCCCAAACCGTTCAAGGACTGCAGGAAGAGAAAAACAAAAGAGGGGCGAAATAATGAAAACTAGCAGCAAGAACACAAGGCAGGATTCTCACGTATAGCGATCTTTCCTTTCCACAAGCCACTAAGAAAGAAGGATGCAAGGAACACTCTTCACGACATACTCGTCAGGGTATTGGCAGCAGGGGCACTCAGCTACGCTAGCTAAAACATACTGGTTTTGGTTTCAAGTGTCATGACATGCAGCTGCCACGTAAACAGCCATATGGATAACTGCCTCAAGAACAGAGGAAAATTTTGCATGCCATGTTAGTTAAATGCTGACAACAACACTGAAATCAAATTTTTAGCTTAGATTAGGAGTGGCCAACTTACAGCTTACAGGTCAGGCACGGCCCACAGCCTGTGCTCCTCCCCACAGCGCTGTCAGAATGTATTAGGTATTGTCTCAACATTGCTGTTCACCACCACCACCCTTCTCGCAGTCATCCTGACTGCAGAGGAAAGCAACTGCAACGCTAATCCAAGCCTAACACATGTCCCCAGACCCAGGGTCTGAGACCCCCACGCGACGGTGCTGGGCACGTGCACCAGTGCCGAGTGGTGTGGGTGGTCAGGCAAAACAGCTCTCAGAACATGCTAAATGTTTTGTGGGAACTAATGACTACGCTAAATGGTTCGTGGAGACTAATGAATATGCTAAGTGGTTCGCAGGAACTACTGAATACGTAATGAAACAGCCAGCATAAGAGCCGAAAACGAGCAGCAGTGGTGGAACGTACAGAAAGCAACACGGGACGGGACGTACGGAAGAAACGCAAGGATAAGACGCACGTTCTCCCACCAGACTGGACACCGAACCGGACTGACAGGACATCGACGTTCTGTGGTGGTAACCTTTTCCCCCCTCCCTTTTCTCTCTCTTCAATCTTTTTATTTGCACACCAGTTGTCGGGCAAATAAAGCTCCCTGGCGCTTAACTCTGTTTTGAGTCTTAATTCTGCTTCCAAGAATTCGAAGAGAGCTCATCGCCCCAGTCTCTGACCCGAGAGTGACAAGCGCCTTCAGGAGTACGTATTAAAATGATGCAGCAACCTTTACCATATAGAGCTTTAGAGTCCATAGTGAGACCAAAAGGTTTATTCTCACAATTCAGAAAAGCCCGACACAGTCAAAGTTCTAAAGTGGGGAAAAATACTATTGTCAGGTAGGTACATCAGAGACTCTCTGGTAAACAGTCTCTCATTTCTGTGAGGCAACAGCTTCAACTCCTGGGGCATAAACTGGAAGCACAGCCTCTCAGATGTCCTTCCAAAGGCAGCGTAACTCCCAGGTAACTGCTCTCCTATTTGCCATTTTAAAAAAATCCATCCCCAGGTACCTGCATAGAGGTGCCATGTACGATACCCAAGCCATGTGCTTCATAGCGGAGTTGACGCAAACCTCTGAGGATGTAAAAGCTTTTGGCCAAATACTCACCAGGGCAGGCCACTGTGCCGGTGAGACTCGAGTCCCCTGGAGCGCGACCGGATCACTGCGCGGGGCCCAGACCAGCGACCCTTCCAGCAGCAACACTATCACTTCTTCAGCGTGGACCTTCACCCAGGCGTGCTGCTTCCAGTTACAGCCATCAAATTCCACAAAGATCTGAAAGAAAAAATAAATCAGAAGGCATTTCAGCTCTCTTCAGACACCGAATAGGAAAAAGTAGATTCCTCCAAGCCCTATGGATAAGGAGACGGTAGGTTTAGTCAGAAAAATCAGACTAAGCATTGTAATGACAACACTGAAAACATCTAATCTACATAACTATCAAATATTTCAAAAGACACAGGAACTACTAAGCTATAAAAAATTATTTATCTCCAAACACACATCCCTGGCTCCAAACGCTGCATTTCCCCATACAAAATTAAAGATGTGAAAGTTGTTCATCCCAGACTGCCACTGATGATCCAATGCAGGTGTCTTTCACCGTGGAATTTTTTAGAGAACTTAGACGCTGCTACTTGGCATTTCAGCAGACGGCCTGCATCAGTGCAGTTAACCAGCACCCACTGAAGTAAATCCTTCACCAAGGAAGTTGAGTTTGTGAAATTCACAACTTTAGTGTTGTCTTGTACATAATAAAGCTCCCTGGACCAAAACCAAATATTTCGGATGGCCAAGGATTATCCAGAAACAACTATTCACTGGATTTTTCATTATCTTATTTACAAGCGTGACAATAGAAACCATACTACAACTCTAAATCACTATTCTGAGATACCATCCTCTTTTTTTCCTATCACAAAAAACAAGTGTTAAAGACATATGAAATTACATGGCAAGGATGCTAAGAACAGGAACTCGGTCACAAGTCTCATTTCACATCCTAGGGCTCTTTAATGTTAAAACAGAGTCTCATTCCAATCTTTCATCTACACAGCTTATATACTGCAGATATAATAAAATATATCAGATGAATGGCAAAAAACTCCTAATCAGCTAAGAAACACCTTAAGCTGGACAGTCAAAAGCGTTCTGTTACAAGACCACTGGGGGTAACAGGGCACTACCTGTAGACAGACAGGTCTCTGCTTTACCCATAGTCCTTACTAGAAGCGGTATTATAACCCACTCGTACACTCGTCCTGTCCACTGCTCCCCCGGACTCCAGCAGCACACAAAGCAACTCCTGAGGAACCCTTGGGCTCCAGCACCGCTGCAGCTCCAGCTGCCCCGCAGAGAAGGACTGGGCCTTTCACCACATCCTCCCTTCAGCTCTAACTCCAGCAATACAGGGGAAACTGGACCCAATGCCTGTTTGATTTCAGTAGGCCTGTATCTTTCTTAGCACTGTATCTGTGCTATTTGGCAGAGGCATGTGACATTAATAGAGGACTTATCACATAAGAATAACAAACCGGAATTACTTGTATATATGTACAGTATTAGGGAGGCAATCAGCTTGTTATGATTCTCTTATCATAAAGGTTATATGAAAAAAGGTCAAAAAGAACTATGAGAATAACGCTGACTTTGGAATACATGCCTTTTCGCAAGATATTTAAGAATTTTATGAAAAGCAGGGGAGATTTTACAAGTAGCGACACAGACAGGACCTCTCACCAGCACGTCCCCTGTAGCTCGTCGGCAAGCACCACTAAAGGCAGCCAAATCCAAACAAGCAATGAAGAGCACCTTACCACTCTGACCAAATAAATAAGGACACCTATCATGTTTCTTTTTCATTTATTACTTCACACAGGTCAATTTACCTTGTGACAAGCATGAAGTAAGACTAAAAGAAAATTCCTTGCAGTCTTAACCTGTAAGATACCTCACATTGCTATGAATCACTGCAAACTGATGAAGCAGAACAGCTGTACTTTTAGCTGAAAATTTAACACGTTACTCTCTGGTTGAAAAAAGAAATAAGAAAAAAGAAATAAGAAAAAAGAAAAAAGAAAAAAGAAAAAAGAAAAAAGAAAAAAGAAAAAAAAAAAGAAAAAAGAAAAAAAAGGAAAAAAGAAAAAAGAAAAAAGAAAAAAGAAAAATACTACAAGAAACAGCCCGTGTTGAACTTCAAGATGGGTGTTCCACGCTTTTTAGTGAGAGGCTGACTAAACATTCTGACAAATTGCATACCCATCCTACACAAAGCAGCAGCAACACCACCTGTACCACCCGCGCAGATGCTAGAGCAGGACTCCTCTCCACGGCCTACCAAAGGCCGTGCTTCGCTGCAAAACAGAGACGTCATGGCAAGTTTTACACGCTTTACATTCAGTACTCGGTTTTCTTCCACCTTTAATAATGTATAAACAACATAAGCAATGGAACTTGCCAAACTTTGACTTACAACCATTTAAAAGGTGTTACTAATTCTAAGTCAATACCCAACAGAGTATTTTCTTACACACAGATATGCAAGGCAGCTGTTCCAGACCCATGCAACACCACACATGACATGGTCAGTAGTTTCCAACAGATCATACAGCAACAAAAAGGATGAAAGCCTCAATATAAACAGCTATGGTTTCAGTTTCCAGAATCTGCAACAGAAATCACTTGAAGTGCTGGGTTCACAAGTAGCAGAAGCTGACTTGCACAGCACACCGAGTGTCTGTGCATGTATCACTTCATATTACTGTGGAAAACAGCTACAGCTTATTCATGAATTGATGTCAAATATGCTGTAAGATTCTGTAAGAAAAACACTACGAGAATCCTGAGAGAGAGACCTGAAGACAAATTTGTGAGTGAATAAACATACTTCCTTTTGATATCTGAAGTGGCAAACAGAAATATTCTACGTTTGTAGAAAAACTCAGAAGCCTTAAGCAAAGTGGCTGGATTATAACGGAGAATTTCCTGGGTTTTTTCCCATCTTAATTAGAAATTTGTGTTGTTCCGCGTCAAGAGGGAAACGTCAGGACGATGAAGTCCTGGCTGCATCAAATCAATTACCTCTCAGGTACAGCAAGGGCCCTACAATTCAAAGGGTCGCACATCCCCACAGGATCTCATTCTGCTCACCACTGGTCCAGAAAAGGCCCTGGCAAGCACAGCACCGGTGCTGTGTCTGCACAGTGGCACTGACGACAGCACCTTCAGGCGCAGTTGTTGAGGCACCTTCCCTCAGCTACACCTAACTGCAAACAACGAAGATTCTTTGGTTTTGGTGGTCTGGGTTTTCCTTAAATCTACAAACCCATTTTTTTCCAACACAAAAACCAGAAGGTGGATACACACCTGTAATTTCTGCTCCCCCTCCCCTGTCCTGATAAAGGTGACACTAGAAAGCAGAACCGCTGCTCTGCTTTACTCGATATACAAGACAGCTCGAAGCGTTTTTTCCAGAAGACACATTCTTGTCTAGCTACCACCCAAACATCCAGGCCATAATACACTACAGGGAACCACGTTCTGGTTCAAACCACTTTCTCCTAAAGCTTTCCACCATCAGTTCCACTAAAAAATGCAGCAGTAATAGGATGACCACAGTGTAGATAAGACAGGTACCTTGGTTTTTCTCATCACGAGACACACAGGGTCTACACACGATTTGTAATAGGAAAAATACTGCAGCTTACCGCATTAGAATTTGCACAAAGGCCTAACGTAGATGCCATCTACGAAAAACAAATTCTTTAAATTTTAAAGAATGGGTTTTATATATTATAAAAAGCAGAAGATGGCAAAAAATCAAAGTTCAAAAATATCCCTTAAAATGGTCTTAAATTTTACCTAGTTTTGAAAGGAAGGATGGTCCATCAGTTGCTAGAGAGTAGCCAGAGACCCAGGTTCAACTCCCTGCTTCATCAGAGGCTTCCTGCATGACCTTGGTCAACCACTCAGTCCCACTGGCTGAGTTTCCCCATCTGTAAATTGGAATAATAGTACTTACACCTGGAAAGGAGGCACTGGTAGCAATCTGCTGCAGACCACCACATAAAACTGGGTAACAAGTTGCTCCACGAGCTCTTACGATGGAGGAAGATCTACGCTGTTAACGTGTGGGAGAGGAAAGGAGGGCAGGTGGATACCGAGACTGCAACACATCCGAGATCTCATGCAGCCGGTACCACCACTAAATGAGATTCTAAAAACAAACTACAGTCGTTTTCTAAGGCAAAGTATTCTTTTGGAATCCATTATGTGAGACAAAGGTGATGCGCACACTGACGCTCTGAAAAATTTTAGCTTCCAATGCAGTAATCACGCTTCAAACTATTTCTTACCAGCAAAGGCAAAGGAATCCAATCTGAAATCTGTGAACACACACTAGGTGTTTTACTGAAGCTGATTCCCAAAGCCAGGAAAACTAAGGAAAAAATTAAAAAAGGAGAGAAATCTTCTGAAATAATTTGTATTGAGCCAGAGAGAAAGTAGATTTCATCATATCACCAAGAAACCACAGTTATTAGACAGAACTATTATGCTTAAAGGCTGATACTGATGAAGACACTATATACCTAGTGAAGACACTAAATATATTACTAAAATTAGAAAACACATAGTTTTTACATTTCCTTGGCACGTATGGGGTAGCGATCAGCTAATAAATGGCCACAAACACTTATTACAAGCATTTCTGTTTTGCGATTGAAGATGAGCACTGGTACCACGTGAGTCCACATTAACGTGTACAGTAAACTACGACAGTACCTAACAATTTCTAATAAAGACGAACATGCTTATGAACCAACAGGTTCCAGATAACAGAAAATAACTGCCGTCATGTACTTCAGACTTTCTTAAAAACCTTTCTTTCAACAGTTTCGACAGTTAAGCAGCCAGTTACAAAAAAAAAGGAGAAGGAATTAATCTGGTTACTGGTGTCAGTGCAGTTCTGGCCACATTAGAGAGGAGAGCATGAAAATTAAAACAAAACTATACGAATGGCAGGTCTCCCTCAAATCTGATTTGATAACCCCCACAAACCTCAGCAACGGCCTCTGAGCACACCACCATCATGGAAATGAGCACAGGGAGCTTAAAGGCAGAAAGTACCAGTGACAGGACAGGGATCAGTTCTATGGGAAAAAAGCGAGCCGATGATAACGGGTCATGAGGTGGCAGACGTTCGGCTATCTCATGCCGTTAAAAAAGGCACAGACACACACGCAAACAGGTGTAGGGTGCGTAACTAACACACCTGCAGTGACCATCTCTCCACTCAGCATCAGCAACCCTCTGCTAAAATACTTATGAACAGCTTGGGTCAGAACAACAGGAGACAGCAGAAGAAACCAAACAAGAATGACCAAATGTCTAGAAAATGCCAGCTTCGGAGTGATCGCTTTATCAAAGACAACTGAAAGGGGGATTAATAATACATTCTTAATGAAAGGCCTGCCAAAAAGAGAATAAATAATCCTATTTGATCTGTCCACTGTAGAGACGAGACAATATTGGGACTAAGACTCAACCAGAAGTACCTGGGTAAGGAAACTTTCTTGAACGACAGACTGCAAGGACAGATGCAATGAAGAGACGACGCAGGGACACCGTAAAGACCTCTGCATCGTGGAGATGGAAAGCAGAGGCTACAGAACCACGTCAGGAACAGCCCTGGTAGGAGCAGCGGTGCTTGGCTGGGAGGTGTGCCCTTACTTGTACGGCAGAACACAGCATCACCCGGAGAACCAAACCAGCCCTGGGACACTCCTTATACAGGCGGGTTCCTGGGCCAATGCACAAGTAACTTCTTGTACGGCCAAGTCCAACAGTGCTGAACCAAAACAGCTTCCTAGAACTTGCATCTCTCTTGGCTGGCATTACGACTATTACATCTGAGGTCTGAACAATGGTCTGATGCCACGGTAATATAGTAGAATTTAGATCTTAAAGTACCAAATACAGTGTATCTGAAAAATACGAGTTAGTTTGTTCTGTTCGTTTGACACTTAAACGATGACAAAGTTTCCCCTTTCTGCTTTTTGTTTTGTTTTGTTTTTACTTTAGTATAACAGAGGAAAAAGAAATATATCAAGATTAATAAGTAACAATTATAGGGGGAACTGGGGGCAACCGCAAAACAAGAAGACCATAGTGAAATTCTGCCATTATCCTAAAACCCCTGACATTTCCAAGCAAGACCTGGTTTAATAAGCTCTTTAAAAGAGGTAAACAAAAACAAAACCTAAAACAAAACACAAAACATATTTCAGCAAAACCAGTAAACGATCTCTGAAAATACTGGTCTTCCAGCACCTCTTTAAGAGGCTCAAAAAAGGATGTATTTAGATGAGTTGGGTTAAATAGGTAGGAAAGAAAGGATGACAAAGTGTCAAAACAAACAGAGTCCACCACAATACTCAGTTTGTATCCCATTTCTTTCAGTATTACAGCATTTCCAGCTTGAGCATCACTACTGACCCTAACATTGGCCACACATATGGAGGAAAATGTCAAGTAAAGCAATTATTACAGCTCAAAATCAGGACTGGAAACTACGCACAAACCACAGAACGCAAGGGAAGACGTCTCATCTTTGAGAGGCCCTGCACTAGTCCCCGTTCACAGCTGTTCTGGAGCACACGGCAGCTGCCATGCTCCTGCTGTAACAAAAACCAGCAGCACACAGGCCCTGCGCCGCCAGCCCTGACGGTGCCTCCGCGAGAGCAACCCAGCCTGGCCTCCATCCACGCCGCCGCATCCTCGGGGCACGGCGGCACTCGGCACTGATGCACGATTGCGTTTACAGCAGAAGGTGAAGTAGAAGCAGACTGACACCGAGCCTGGACTCCAAAGACTGCACTCATCACAACCCAAATGCAAAGGATGGGTTAAGGGCGGCCCTAATACTTCTGTCCCCATCCTGTGAGATTTGGCCACTATGTAAACCAGATCACTGGTTGAAGCCAAGCAGTGGTCCAAAATTCAACATCTCTTCGAGTCACGTAGTGCTTTATTTTCCTGATACGCAGCAAGTATCAAACACTTGCATTTATAATTCTATATACAAAGTATCTTTAAGAAAACAGCACTTAGAAAGTGCTGCAGGTTTTTTGTTGTCAGTTTATGTAGTTGAAGTGTTTTAGAGATTTAGACAAGTAAAATCCTTTAGGTCAAATTAGACGAAGATCAAACCATGCTCTAGCAGCTCGCTGTTACTGGGAACACCAGGACATTGCCCTGCTGCTGTCACCACACAGCCCTTTGGCTTCCCCGTGAACAAGCAACCCCGCTGACTCCATGGCGCACGTTGAGGGAACTCGTGGCCTAGAAACTAAGCACACACAAGGAATTGTTAATTTCCTGCAGTCTTCCTCCATGCTGTTTGCTTAAGGGTCCAACGAAGCATCACACACAAGAGACAGGAAGAGCAATTACATTATTTTTTTATAGTAGCTAGTTACTATGTTGATTTAACAACATCAGACCAATCTCTTCCACTGAAGTCTTCACCAACAAGTTTTTTTCTCACACATGAAGAGCAGGAACATAAAGCACTGGACTACTCTCTCCCACATGCTGCACTGCTTTTTTCCACTTTATCCAGTAGGACTCAACTGTCAAGCACCTGAAGACTTCCAGATATGAGCCGATTTGGACAGTTTGGGTTTACACCAAACAAGAAAATGACTACGCCAGGTATCTCTCTTGGATAACAAAAGCTACCCAAGCCAAATTTGGGATCTAAGAGTAACCTCGTAGTGCTGTGGCTGCATGGTCAACATGCGTCTACCAAACCAAGCGACTCCAAGAACACATTGCCATGCGCAGACACGGTGCCAACATCCCTTGCACTCTGAAATGAATCCAGTAATTGTGCTGCATTTTACAGCAGGCAGAGCCAAACATGTGAATCACTATGCTTTGCTTTTTAAGAGGAACTTTATTTCAGAAAATGTTTGCATTCCTACAGAAACTTCCTGCACAGACAGACTGCCTTCTGAAGCAGCACCAGCCCATTGGGTACACTAAGAACCCATTCACCACTCCCCAGGCCTATCCTTAAAAAGTGACAGCCTTTTCCCTTCATTTATTCTAAAATTAACAGTTCTGAACTTTCTCTGCTATTAGTAACCTAAAATACTTCAGTTACTGTAAAGAGTGAGTTTCACAGAATAAATCTGTTTTGGAAATAATGTACATATTTTTGTCCAATGCTGTGCTTTCTGTTGCTATTTCTCCTAAAACACATCTTTGCCTGATGTTTGCCTGCACCCCAAAGTATCATAAAAATCTCCTTTTTGACTGCAGTTCCTTTCTGCAGCTATTTGAACCGTAGAGATGACAGTATCTTCTGTTTCACAAAACAAGTCACCCAGAAATCCAAGCAGGCTATTCCTAACCTCAAGTACTCTACACCTCAATTATCAGCAAGAAAAGGATGAGAAAACTAAACATGGACGTGGTAACACAAACTTTCAATACACTGGCTGAGTCTTCTTGGAATTCTCCAAATGTTTCTCTAAGAACAGGATGTGGCCATATAGAAATGTTTTTGAAGCTACCATCAGCTTGGAAATTGCTTTAGAAAGTGGGAGCTCTGCAAAAGCCTCAAGCACATGGTGGCAACACAGAGAAGTGAAAATACGTGCATGGGAACACCCTAGAAGTGTGGGCAATCACAAGAGAGATCCTGAAGGAAAAGAACGGTCAGTCTCCTTAATAACCAAGG